ATTTTTACACTGCTTAACACTGTCATTATTCCTGAGCCAGATTTATGGGTACTCTGCGGTACTCCTAACCACTTTTGATGTTATTTCTACTGGAAACAGTTGACAAAATTGGATCTCCCCTTGAGGATTGCACAGTTTTAGTATTTGTTTCAACTTTCAGCCATTTGCTCAACCTATTAAGAGCTTCTGCGAAGACATAAAATAGCAAACCATCATCTTGAACGCTACAGAAAAAAAATGCATAACGGCTGCCAATTCATACTAACTCTGCTGAAGATAAGGAGAATACATTGGAAGGCATTACACTACATGGAATACTGCCTATGGATTTAGCATAACCCTACAAGGGTATTTGGCTCTGAAGTATTCCACTCTGTTGGTCAGAGCTGCATGAAAATTTTCATATCAAATATAAACCCAAGGCAAACAGAAAGTGTGCCTAATGTAAATTTGAGAATAAAAATTGGCAGCAGGCTTAAACATTACTTCCACTTTGTTTTTTTTCTATATACCATAGAGTATACTACTGCTTTAAATACAATTTTTATGAGCTCTGCAAACCTTGCTAAAGCCATACATGCGCCATATCCAGAATCTTGGAGCTTAACTGCTCTGCCAGTGGTGGACTAACTGTCTGTGAAAAATTGATGGAAAATACTAGAAAAATATCTTGCTGTCAACAATAATATTTAAGAAATATGTAAGTAGCACCTGGTTGTCATCTTTTCTTATTTATTTTTTTTCAGCAAAAAGAAAGAAAAATATATTTTGAACAACAGACACAATTCTTTTGTTTCATTGTAGTGAAGCTAATACAAAGTAATAATTAATGTACCAAACACAGTTATTTCTCTTTTCCACCTGAATGCTAGAGAATGATGAAAGTAGGTTTCACAAAATTCTACAAACTGCAGAGTGCCCTGGATGCTACTTTTCAACTGCATAGGAGTATTAGAAAGTAATTGCCAGCACAAATACATATCTTCACCTAAATGTTTAACTAAAGTGAAAAGGTTAAGGATATTTGTTTAATTTGAGTTATATATAAATATTCCAATAACACTACATTGGAGAAAAGAATTAGAAACTCAAACTGAGCCGACATTTCATAAGTAGCCCAATAATTTACTATGACCTTTGTGCAACACTGATAAATTATTGCATTGCCCGATCTCTAGCTCTTTGCAAAATGGGCTTACCTATAAAAACATAAATAGCAACTGAAATAATTTATTTCCAAGCTTTAATTGAAAAATTATTTAATTCACCTAAAGATACATGTGAAATTATATTTTAGCAATTCACAAGATTTGCCATACAAAAAAATGAAATAGAATAAGGTCTTCTTCGTACCACTGTTCTTGTTATCACCTACAAATATTTAATATTACACAAAAATGCATAATGGACTTCTATGGGTTTAAAAAGAAAACTTCTGAAAGATAATAAGAATTTAATATATGGATACATTCTCAAAACTTTGGAGTTATTAAAGAAAGGTGTATCAATATTTTGATGTGATGAGACAGAAAAATTTTCTTCCATTTTAGTTCTTCTAATGTTGCCTAGAGAAGAAGTTTTTAGGCAAGTTTTTTTTTTCTTATTTGTTTTCTTTTTTTTTTTTTAATTTTTATTTTTTTAATAGAGAGATGATCTTAAGAAAAACACAGTAAATTGTCAGGTACAGACAACTTTTCCTTCAGTCTAGAAAAGCTTAAAGTTCTTGAGAACTCAGTGGACACAGGTCCTGGAAATAGGTACTGGTTATCACATGAAGATCAGTTGTTCATCAATTTTACCCCTTCATTTTACTTCATGGTGTTTGGTGACCTCTTCTGATGCTTCCCAAGCCCAACACAGGGAATACTAGAACCTGAGTAACCCATTTCCATGCTATCTTACCACTAGGATAAAAGGAATACTTTTATAGTACATCTAGTTTCAACAATGAGCCTTTAGGTTGCAGCTTCAAGATTACCCCAAGCTGGCTGTGATGAAGAGACAGGCTATCACAGTACTCTGTAGGATATCTGCCAGTCTTTGCCGTTTGGCTTGGGATCAGGGTTCAGCTTTTGGTCCTCTTTCGTTTAGCAGTAGACACATACTAGGGCTCTGCACTGCAGTAAAACAAATCATTCCTCTTGCCCAGTGAATTGTTAGAAGGGACAGGAGAACCAGCCACTTTTAAGTAGTTTAGTCTGCACCCTTGCTCCAAAATTCTGAGGTACCAATTTGACAGAGACTGATATTTGGCCTTTAACCTGCACCTAGGAACCAGTTCTGTAAATATACTACAGACGATGCTACCAAAATCAGTTATTTCCAGAAGACACACTATATGGATTAATACAGAGTTAAAGTGTCCCTTACAACTTCTCTCTTTTGACCAACAACTATCATTTCACAATTCTCTTTGGTATACATTTTCATGTAAGGAACAGTGCTACCTGCACTGAGGCAAGTCAAGGTACAATAGTTTCATGTCAGGTAACCATGAAAGAGAGAAGGAACTGAAATAATATCACCTACTTCCTGCTGATTTCATCTTGTGCAGTTCCACAGGCCAGTACAAAAAACACGCTCATGTGTGGGAGGAGATTAGGAGGTGTGCAGGAGGAACAGAAATCACTCACAAAATCTTATGAAGTATACAATAAGGCAGAAAAGAGAGTATCATTTTCATCATTTCACTGCATCACTTGAGGAATGAGAGAGGAAACTTGCACCTATAGCTCTAGGAAGTATAAGTCGAATTCTAGCTACATAAATGTATTAGTGCATTTACAACCTTTAAAACTTCAAGACGGCTTCTGGAGTACTCTGCAGCTCACTCTTGAGAGAAGTAATTTCAATGCCTCCTGCCAGACTATTAATTCTATGGCCTACAAGACATACTAGGGGATCAGAAAACTATTCCACTTTACTTTTTGGAGATTGAAGGGCATAAAACTGCTCTGTAGGCTGTTTTTATAGTACCTGCCCTCTAATCCTTGTCTCATGCCACAGGCTTCAGAGATCTTGCTATGATCAAATAAAATGTCAGCCATTCAGAAAACTAAACTGAACTTTTATTATCAGTATCTCTATGGTCCGTAACAGAAGACAAACCTATTTATGAACAACTGAATCTGTTATGCAAAATAAAGAGAAGACTGAAAGACATACTATGTGTATGAGTAACTTCAAAGAACCCCTTGTCCCTATCACGGATAGATAACTAGGAATTGCTAGTGCTTTGTCAGATGCTCAGGCATCCAAATCCTACCCTGTTTCTCAGGGTACTCAGTCAGAACTCCCACAAACTTTTAGAAATAAAATACTTTAAGATCATTTAACACCACCTCAGAAAGGCTCCTGTAAGCTAGAAAGAATCCAAACAGCATGAGGCTAACGGGAAGATGTGTCTTCCTTCCCTGTTTAGGGTATAAGTCCAATAGGCTTATTCATAAATAAATATTCCCAGATTGTGTGCCAAGTTAAAAGTCTGCTGAAATTTTGGTCTCCCACAGTTACTTGATGCTTTGATTTATATTAATGAGAATTTATATGCTTTTTTGACATGTCAATAAATACTAGTAAAGTTTAGGACAACAATAGTTAATTCTAGGAACAGTTCAGCTACGCATATCCAGAAAATTAAATCTTACCTCTTTCTTTCCTAAGGGGACTTTGACACAGAACAGAGGAAAAAAATTACAACTTCATGAACATGGGCGAATAGGTCTGTACAGAATATATCAATCCAGGAAAATGTCAACACATCCATTTCAAATTTGATAGAAATAATTATAACCAATTCTCAAACCTAAGTAAGCAAGTGTATGGCTGATATTCTTCCCTTCTGTTCTTGGAAAATGGAGAAAGCTGGGCTTGGAATGGAAACTTCATATTATCCATAATTACAGAGAGGTTAATACTGATGCTTACCTAAACACTGGGGACAAGCTATCTAAGTAATTCAGCATGTACTGCCTGCAAGGTTGTCTGTGAAAGAGACACACAGCAACACTTTAAATGCTTTGTATATGGGAAGTGATGGACATCATACTCTTCAATGCATGATTATTTTTTAATATCTAAGACTCATTTTCTTGAGTCAAATACTGTCAACAAGGAATCAGGTGCTTTCAATGAATCAGCATGCAAGCACAACATAATATAATTAGACTAGGTCTGGGATAGAATCACAACCACCGTGTGTTACTTTCAACATGAAGTTTACTTCCAGAAATCCAGTTTTTCTTCCCCAAAAAGATATCTCCTAATAGTTTCATTCACACTTCCTGCTATCCTGTAAGACAGTTAAATTCTTTCTTCTATTGAAAAATGCAGAAAAATAGCAATACTTGGAGTGTATAACATGTTGTTATTAGTTTTGAGGTTCCACCTCAAAATGTCTCCTAATCAGTAGATAAATGTGTTTCAAGTAATTCCTCTCAACAATGGTAGCTGTCTTTCCAGGGCAATTGGTTTTTAATCCATGTATTTACAAGAAATGGTATTCTTCAATGTATGCATTCAAATACCATCCAGTAAAATGGATTACAGTATTTAAGACTGCAATAAACAAGAACTGGTTAACAGATGCATCATAAGAAATTTTACTTTGATTTATAAAACAAACACCAAAGGGTTCATTTCTGCAGGAACAGTTTGTCCCCCTCAAAGTCAGGCTTTCATTCCTTGGCTCTTAAATATGAATTAGCAACAAAGATCTACACATTTATGCCACTGTTTTGAACACTTGAGGTTGTAGTTAGAACTTAAGCAGTCAGATTTTCACCCACAACTCAACTAAGGTACAAAAATATAAATTGTAATCATACCAATAAAACAAATAACACACCTGAAAATGTGGCCTATTTTCCACCATGATACCATGGGAGGGAGGGGGGAATGTTTAAAAAGGAAAACCAGCAGAGGAAAAAAAGCTCTTTGAAAGTGATAAGTACTCTGAAGAACTGAGACTGTGGATCTCTGACACTTTTTGTTGTACTTACCTAATATCTGTGCATGTTATACATGTGATACAGCGACTGTTTGTTGTAACGAGGTTCAAAGCCACAGATGTTTCACTGTCAGTGGTTGGGTGTGCTCCACATTTAAAGTAAAATTCCTGAAATATTGAAAAAGAGATAAAGGGAAGATTACATACCTGCTGCTCATGTCCTCCCTTTATCTTAGGCTAACTGACATTTGAGACAACAGACAAATCACCACTGCCAACAGAAAAGGAGGACGATCATTAGCAAAGGTTTATGAGGAAACCCTTGCAAAACTACCAGTCTAGGTGTGTATTTTGTTCAGTGATTTCCCCAGCAAAGAAGATCTCTACTAATTTGATATCAGTGTAATACATTCAGTGATTTTCTGGATTTATAGAAAAAAAATTAGTTCATCTTGACTTCATTTAAGTATAGTCAAAGGCAGAATACTAAGCGTTGTGACTATGAAATAATATTTATACTTTATTCTTGTTGTTAAGATGTTACCATTTTCTGATCCTTAGAACACAGAACTTTAGCTCTAAATGAGTAAAGTCTGGCCTTGCTTTTATGATGTTGGAAATCTATACAACACAATTTTACCATCACATTAAAGGGAAGCTATAGCTCTCGGGACACATATCACATTTGCAGTTATGTATTATATTGTGATTGAATTAAGTTTCTTTAGTCCGCACTGGTCTATATAGCCTCTTAGACTGCTTTCATTAGCATAATATTTTTTATACAACAGTGTGCTTTGTTCTCTTTTCCAGGGAAAATCATACCAATCATGCTGTGCTTTTATAAGTTTCTGTTATGAACTTGTTTTAAATGTCCAAACCACTCTATGCATATGTAAATAAAAGCAGTCTGAAGACATGTGATTTGCAATAGGAGCCACAGATTACAGTTTGCAGTTTCTTTGTTCCAATAAGACCTTTTTTCCAGTATCAAACTGTGGAGGTTTGTAATGAAAACATTAAGACTGGTATAAATGAAATGTGAATTGGAAGGTAAGCATATAAAAGCATCAGAAGAAATTATGAGAAGAAGGCATAAAAGAATGACAGGTGTTGATGGCATCAAGATATTAAGATCACAGATGGTTCCCAAGACTTCCAGACTGGGAAGAAAAATTATAAATAAATAAACAAACTGCAGTAAGAGAAAAAGACACAGACAGTGAATAAATCAGCACCATTTCCTAATGACTTACAGAGGTGTGACAGGATGAAGGAAAAAAAAAAATTACAGTTACTGTCAACTTCTCTAGGGCGCAAAAATCTAAAACCAAAAGTCCAAACGCAAACCCCAGTATTAAGAACAACCTAAAAGCTGTGAAAAACACTTGCTAGGTGGCATTTCCTAGTGTCATCCCAAGTTCCTAGCCAGACTGTCTGGACACATATTTTAGTGCTTGTTAGTATTTGAATACAAGAGAACAAGTGTGACTGAATGAGATCAGTTTTATTTAATAAAAAAATCATCTTCCCCTCTATATGGCCTTACACTGAGATTTACTACAATACTAAAATCAGTTCAGAAAAAGCTCTTACTTTCTCTCTGCCTTGAGCCTTGCAGAACGGAGTTCTTTGCAAAACAGCTGTCAATTACTGTTTTTTCTCAGTAGTGATCATTTAGAATATGTGTATTTCTACGTAAGACAAATACAGAACTATGTAGTAATATCTCTAAGGTGAAATCTGGGAACTGGGATATGAGAAGTATTAATAAAACCTTCCTCCTAGGTTAGTCAATCCTGCTTCTCAGAGAAGCATCGATATATGCAATAGATTCAACACAAAATACTCAAACTCCACTGTAAGTTAAGGACTCGTGTGAAGTATATGTTATCAGTTGAAGAGAACTAAAGGTAAGAGTATAGTTTAAAGACAAGTCTATTTTTAAAACCAAGTAATTTTTCAAAAAACTTTTGAAGTAGTCACCTGTACATATCTACATAGAGGTAACTTTTTCTTTAATAGCTAAATCATCTTCTTATCCTGTTAATTAATACCAGGAAGTAGTCCCAAGCAAGAAAATATGCTTTAAAGTCATCTGTAGACAAGACTTTAGACTTTCCATATCTTTTTCTCTTGTTCAAGACCCAGTAACACACAGAGCTGTTAAATATCACATCAAGTTGGAGCATTTCAGAAGTCGAGAATGAGTTAATGGAACTATATGTTAATCTGGAGTACATTAAAACTTTAGATAATATGCAACTTTAAGTTATTTTCAAGCTCTAAAAATGTATCCATTAATCTCTGTATTATTTGCTAGTGGGTTTTGGAGCTTGGGTTTTCTTTGCCCTTTAATTTGATTTTATTGTTGTTTGAATTAAATGGTAAGAAGGATTTATTTCAATGCAGGAGAAGTCTTGAAAGTATCTCCTTGCTTCAGTACATCTTCTGTATACAACTAAGAGAATATTGACAACTCACTATTCCAGAACAGATAAACTAGGCAAGGAAACATACAGAAGAAAAATATTTTTTGATAAAATTACTTATCCAGTGTAATAAAACTTTCTCTGGGTCACAAGTGACCAAAAAAAAAAAAAAAAAAAAAAAGGAATAATAGGGTAATAAACAAGCTTTAAAACACTTGAAATATCTTTAGATTTAGGGTTTTTTTCCTAAGGAGCTATAAGTTTCTTGTAATGAAAACTGTTTAATGAAGGTAGAAGGGAAATAAAGGGATACATTTCTTACTCCATACTCTCAAAGGAATGGAATATTGCCTACATCTCATAGCAAAAATAAAAAAAATAAGGAAAGAAGGAAAAAAAAAAAAAAGTCAAGAGTCATGCTACATTCCCAAAATACTTTTTCTGTAACGTTAGGAAAATTACTTCTCTGTACTTCTGTTTATCAGCCCAAAAACTGCTTTAAGAAAATCTCTACTAATTATATTTATGATGTGCTTTGGTGTTGCTGAATGTAGAGAATTATGGAATGTGAAAATACTATTTGAAATAACAAAAGGAAATATTGCCATTCTCCAAAACTATTCACTGAAAGACTCATTGCTTGAATAAACTGTAATTAAAGAAATACCAAATCTTAATATTAAATGCAAATAGAACAGAAGGCTTGTTAAAATTATAGAAAAAAAAAAGTAAATCCCTCAAGATTATGTTGTCTTTGTTCAGAAGAAATCTTCAAGATTAAAGAATAAAAAAAGTAATTTATAACAAATGTGTTGAGACTAGCTGTACAGTAAAACTAACCCACTTATAAAATGTTCACGCTTGCAAAAACAAAAAGTATCAACCCACACAATGCACAATTCTATAAAATCAACACAACAGTCTATGTTGACATCAGTGCTGTGATGGGAGTTCAGAAATACAAGGAGAGATTGGAATCTGAATAACTTACTATGCTGAGTGCTGACAGTTCTGGTGTAGTGTGGACTGCATTTCCAAACTTTTTTGTTTTTATTTTTATCATAGTAATGCACATTAAAATTGTTTGAAGGCTTTTAAAAACCATTAACTTAATTAAGTTTCCAGTTGCAAATAAAAATTTATGTGGCCTAGTTTTACACATTGCATAAATAAACAATTCACAAATATTTATTGGTTACATCTACTAGATTTCCCAGAGACTTAACATACTTCTTGCGATGCAAGCACAACCTTTTTATGCCAGAGGATATATGTATGAAGTTATGAAGAAAGATAACCTATCAGCACAAGTTGCTTCTCATCTGATTCCAGAAATAAAATTGCAGAGAGTAAAATATAAGGGGGAAGTGTCTAGCCACTTCTCACTCTCCAGCCTTGCATGTCATCAGGCATGTAAATGTAGCTAGTCTTTTATTTAGTCTTTCACCCAGTGTATGAGAGCCTAAGGAGGGAAATTTGCTGGATTGTTCAATCTAAATAATTTCTGTTCCAAAGTTAATGTCCACACGGATGTAGAGATCTTGGAGCCAGTCAATCTAGGACTAATCCTCTAATTTTGCCACAGACTGTCACACTCACACAAGCAGTTGTTACTTCTTAATGTTGATGTCAAAATGTTTCTCTAAACTTAACTTATGCTATTGGATATGAGACAATATTTTCAGAATTTTAACCTTATAATAAAAAAACCCTTACAGAAAAACATAAAAGGGACGGGAAAGAAAGTCATTCAGACAACATCACTGTCCGATCACTTCTAAAATATTTTAAGTTAGAAGAAATCACACTATTCCTCCTTTCTGCATTTGTATTCTCATTTGGTTCAATAATTTCTGATGAATGCTTTTTTTGTTGTTAAGTATTTCTTTTCAGCAATGAGCATGGATATAAAGAAATTACTGTGAAAGCCAAGACAAAATTTAGTGCTTCTCGGAGTTCTGAAAGTGAGCAGTTTCATGGTCACCTTCTACTACAGTGAATACCTTTAGATCATTTTCTTGCCTAAAGGCATAGGTCCCATGAAATTGTGAACATTCTATTTAACACTACAAATGTCTTGCTTTTGGCAGTGTATCTGATAGATTGCTATTCAGAGAAGGGAGCAGACATTGCTCTTACATACTTTGTCACATTCTTCGCTCCTGTTGTCGCTTTTGTGTCACACAACATCATAAAAAGTACAAGGGGGAAGAAAAGGTTCAAAGATGCATAGTCAGTGTTAGCTACTTTTTACAAAACTCAAGAAGAAAATGGTCAAATCTATCAAAAAAATATTCTTTGATATTTTACCAAAAATATGTCTCCCTAAATTCTATTTTTTCGAACAAAACAGGGGTTTGCATACCCCTAACTGCTGATGATAAGTGAACTGTCTTCTATATGGTCAAGTAACCAACATAAGTAAAAGACCAGTCACACATAAACCATCAGTGGGAAGCCAGGTTCTGAAACAGAATAATGCACAGAAGAAATTTAACCCTTTTGATACATGTTCCCCACTCCAGTTTACTGCACTGTCAGAAAAAAACATTTCTCTTTGCTAATAAGTACCACGATAGCCTGCACCTCAGCTGATATACGACATATACAAAGGAAAATACAGGTTCCTACCTCTGCTTCTCACTCACTGCTGTGTAAGTTGGTTAAAAATCCTAAGGAAGCTCATCCTTTGCATTCCTTATTCCCTTCTCTTAATAAGCTACAGAACAAGGTGGG